TGTTATTGTTATTAACAAGGGAAATGTGAGAAGAAGGTTGCTTCTCAGTTCCCACTTAGGCTGTCATATCCATGCATACCCGATCCCGACCCGACTTCCGGACCTCCTCCTTCCCCACCTCTGGAGTCCTACCCTACCGCTGTCCGTTCCGATACTCACCTTTGGTCCTGGCAACACACCTCCTTTTACCTCCCATTCCACCTCCACTCCACCTTCCCTCTCCTCCCCTATCTCCATCCGCTCCAATACTCACCTCGGACCGAACACCACCCCTCTCACCACCCTCCTACTACTACTCCTCCTACTCCTCTGCTCCTCCCTCACAACACCTCCACCCTTCCGTCATCCTCCTACGCTTCTCCCATCCGCTCCGATACTCACCTTCAGACCTGACAACTCTCCTTTCCACCACTCCTTCCCTCTTCCCTTTCTCCTCTCTCTTCCCTCTGGTACTCTTCTGCCAACCTCCCGCCAAGTTACGACCTTCCACCGCTGTCCCGTACTTCGTACTCGGGCACCACTCATACCTTGCTCCGAGCCTCCATCATAGTCCCTACCTCGGACTTTGACTCCACCTCGGTCTTAGTCCATTGCATTGGTGACCTCATACTACCTAAACACCATTGCCAATATTCCTCGGACTTTCAACCCCACCTCCGTAAGCTCCGCAACCTCCGAGCTTCGCAGATCATCTTCGGCACTTTCGCCACTTGTAATGTATCTCTCGCGTTTTCCCCTCATCCCTATTTGGACTGCTGCTTCTTCCCATTCTAGCCAGTTAGTCACCATCCCCACTTCTCCTCATCCTCCTGCCCCTCTGGGCCTCGCCCTCCCTACCTCCTTTTGGACGTATCACAGGTTCTGCCTTATGACCTTCGGTACCGCTCCACTTCTGTCTTCCCTTTGTTCCTGTTCAGACGTCTTCGTTCCGATTTGGATCCCCTTTGTTTCCTTGTGCTTTTGCCCCCTCCATTATATATATCGGCGCTTGTACATACTCGTTTTGGGCTCAGTCTGAAATCGACCTGAAATGCCCCCTAGAGACTTCCTGCTCGCCTACTGTGAAATTAAGGACCAAATGGACAAACAGCAATGGCACAGCGCTCCGCTTGAGTCACTGAGGCCAAGGTCCCTCCATGCTAAGTCTCCGATTCCACTCCGGAGTCGTCTGAATCCACGACACATCTCTAACAGGATGCCTTTGTTCTGATTCGGACCCCCTTTGTTCCCCTTGTGCTCTCGTCTCCCTATTATATACAGGCGCCTGTGCATACTCGTTTTGGACCTTCAGTCTAAAATCGACCTGAAATGCCCCCTAGAGACTTCCTGCTCGCTGCCTCTGAAATTAAGGACCAAATGGACAAACAGCAATGGCACAGCGCTCCACATGAGTCACTGAGGCCAAGGTCCCTCCTTGCTAAGTCTCCGGTTCCCCTCCGGAATCGTCCATCCTCGCCCAGTTCTAACACCTCCAGTCATGTTATTCCTTATTAGTTTATCATTTGATATTTTCTGCAACCCCAATCTTCTGGACTACAACTTCCAGGCTCCAGACCTTTCCAGATGTCTTCCCCTGTAGCCCCCTGCTCATTCATAGATGGGCCCAGGCCTTACCATTCAGTTGGTTTCTAATTCTCCCACTCCACAAACTTCAGATGTAACTCGGGCTTTTCACCTATTCTATATTTGTCCTGTGGAGTCTTTCTATTTACTTCTCCTTCCCCTTGGTAACCTTTGTTTACCTTCGGATCCAATTATCTCTGCTATATCTATGCACATACCACTCTAGTAAATAGTTCCCCCCAGTTATAATATTAAGTCCTTGAATCCAAACCCTCTTCCACGATGTCTATCGCGCTCTACTCACCTGCTGCTCCACCTTGAACCAAGAGCTGAGTGACAGATGTGTCTTCTAAAGGTGCCTTGGTATAAAACCCAATGAATCGCATGACAAACAATTGACCCTCGCTAACGCCTCCATCATTAAGTAGTGAGGGGGGCTTCTGGCCCCCTTCCACTGGCAGCCTCAGTTCCTCCATCGCCAGCCCCCCTGACAAATTGGGGACAACGAGGATGTAATGGGCACAGTGCTCCATTCCGAGTTGCTGAAGCTGAGTCCCTTCAACACCCCATCACCCTCAGAGCTCTGCCCCACCTCTGGCCTGTCTCCGACCCACCATTGGTGTCAGAACATGGCCAGGAGGGGCGTGTCTGGACCTTTCCCCGGAAGGGAGGCCAGAGGTAGAGGACAAGCAGAGGGACCATGGCCTCAGCGACTTGGAGAGGAGCAGTGTTGGGTCCTTAACTTCAGAACGAGGGGGCGCGAACTCTGGGGGGATCTAGTCGTCGATTTTGCACTGAAGTGCCATCAACTACAGTACATGACTTATATACATAATACAAGACAAATAGGAACAAAGGGAAAACCCAAGATGGACTTACTGTCAGGGATCGGCCCCTGACCCCGCTGTCAGGGCACCCAACCACACCCCAGAACCACCTTCCCAGACCTCCCCATCCCTACATACCTCTCACAACTTCAGCCCGCATGTGAGCCCGCGGGAAAAATCACGTGGGTTAAGGCGAGCAACTCGCCTTAACCCATGTGACACCTTTTCCGAGTCGCGGGAACATGCTCGGCTTCTACCCGGAGTCACGTTATGAACTGTACAGTACACTTCCTTTTTATAGTAGCCAAGCGGGGAATAGGGAAACTTACCCTTCTTCTCAACTCAATCCCCACTTAGGCAAGTTGTAGTTACCCTCTGTAATACATGACAACTCAATCCCCGCTTAGTCCCTTCAGTGAGTTTGAGGAGCTAAGGACCGGGTCTAGCGCCCAACCACCCGGAACACCGCACACACCTAGGCCTGAGGTCGGGCTGTCCCTGATCGAGGACCGAGCCCTGACACTTACCCACTTGCCAGGTTGGCAGGCTCGTGAGAGAATCACCTTATCAAGCATTGTGGAGTGGGTAGATGAAGGGTGGGATTAGCAACAGCTATTGGATAGTGGGAACCCTTTGCAGGATTGGTGGAGGTCCTAGGAGGTCCGCAGTAATATTGGGTAGGTAGAAATATGTCAGGGACCGACCCAGGGTCGAGAGCATCCAGGTATATTGCCCAGGGCTGAGGGCCCAGTAGGGTGTGATGCAGGCATGTGTAGCAACAGGCCTGGTGCAGACAAATGTCCCTGGCCACTTAGGCTAAAGTGGGAAGTGTGAGAAGAAGGCTGCTTCTCAGTTCCACTTAGGCTGTGTTTATATACATGTGGTTAAGGCCATGTCATCTACACACACAGCCACATCCATCTGGGTACCTCTGCAAGAGGTCCCAGGAGCATCCAGCATGTGGGAGGTCGTTCAGTGTGTCTGGGTCCAGGCATGTTGCACTGCAGCTGGGTCAATGGTACATTGATACAAGGGAAGTCGTCTGTGTGATAAGAAAAGAAGAAAGAAGAAAGAAAGGGAGGAGAAGAGTGGAGAGAGAAAGGAGGAGAAAGGGAGGTCAGGAGAGTAAAAGGGAAAAAGGGGGGAGGTCGGGAGGAGTGGATGGTGGGGCACCGGGTGTCAGGGCACATACCCTGACTTAGCCCGGACCCAGACCTGCATCCGGACCCACTCCACTTCCCACATGTGCTTCCCATGCCACATAATCCATGCACTGCAGCTCCGGTCTCCAGATCCTACCTTCATGTGACTTCTGGGTATCCCCAGAAGTTTTCGCCATATTGGGCCACTGTGGGAAAGTGAGAAGTTAACCTTCTTCTCACTTTCTTACCCACAGTAGGCAAGTGTATTCTACACTGCTTCTTTACCTTATACACTTTCTTACCCACAGTAGCTCTTTGCCTTGGGACTAGGCTGTTACAGGTTGGGCTGTGGGCCATAGAGAGAGGGGTCATGGGGACCTGGGGTCTGTCCCCTGACACCAGGTCAGGTGGGGCCAGGTCAGGTGGGTGTGCCCTGACAAAATATTAATAAACGTCTAAGATGAGGATAAGGGGTACTGGAGAAGGTACCAGAGATCGGAGGTGGAGGTGGACTGGAGGTGGACCGGAGGTTATGGTGGAGATGAGGGAGAGGACAAACCAGAGGGGAACACAGTGGTGGAGTAGATCGGAGGTTGGGCAGAGTTGGTATGGATATGACAGTCAGACGACCTGGAACATCGAGCTCCATCAGACACACCCACCTGGGTAGTGTTTCGGATCTTCCCTGGGTGGGTTCGTGACAAGGATGACTTATTATAACAACAAACACTACATATGAAGGACTAGGATGCAATAATACGAGCAGGAACCAGGGGAAATGGACAAAAAACTACAAAAAAACCACAAAACTACGATGGACCATGGTGGGAATTTTAGGGAAAAATATACTAATAAAGCAGAGAGCTCTAACACATTTGTTTGTTCAATTCTTAACTACGACCAAGTATTTTGTTCTAAATTTGAACCATTTCACTCGTTTATCATTATTAAAGAGTACTTGGTCAAATCTTTTCCGAATAACTCCATTCTTGTTTAGTTATTCATTGTGAATTCTCCTGAACATTCCATCCTATTGATGCTAAGCTCGAAGTATTTTTGTTGATTTTCTATGTTTGAATTCATTGGTAATTGTCATAAAAATTCATAAAAAAAATCGTAAAAATTCCAAGGAAATCTACATCTCCTTGTTACTCATCCTTTCCTGTTCCACAGTGTCAATGGTGTTTCCACAGCATAATTTCATAACATGTTTTCATAGGGTGCCCATTATTTCTCCTACACCACCCCCTCCCTCTGCCCTCATTCTGGGTCAGGTCAACACACCGACTGTGAGTTTAACAGCAGCATGTCACTTGTCTGTTGGCCTATGTGCTGCATATAAGGCTTTCCACATGGTGGAACAAGTGGTTGCACCAAGTTCCACATTCTTGTTAGGCTGATGTTCTCATGCTGCTGTCATGTGACTTGAGGCTGTGTTATGATATCACTTTGTCAACTCTCTGCTGCAATGTCTTCTGAGCCGAAGCCAAAAAAAGTGCGAAATATTGCAACAAAGTGTATGTGGCACACTGCTTGGATAGAGTACTTACGAATACTGCTGTGTTGGAGTGCAAAGCTGCATTGAAATATGTGCCTCATCCCTCGACCAAGTGTTCAAAACAACAAACTGGGATGATGCTACAGCTGCCTGGGATGTAGTCCTCATCCTTCTAGCTGCTGAGTGCAAGGTTGAGAAGGTAATATTCTTGTCCTCAGTGCACCTGATCAAGCCTAATGCAGGACTGTATGAACAGCAGCAGATCGATGATGTCATTCGCAATGGGCCAGAGAAACTCAAGGGTGTCAAGACATTTCAATATCTATGTGTTGCTCAGAAGCATGTCAAGATACTCAAAGATGAGGTCAAAGCAAGCCGATGGGCGAAACAGCGGGTGGTAAGGCCTATTACTCTGGAGAATCACACTGTTGCATCGCATTCTACCCCACTAGGTGCAGGATTTGGACCTGAAGCGGCGCATAGATAAAGAGACCCTGATTCAACAAGCTCAAGAGCTGGATTTACAGGTCCATTATGTTGAATTTGATCCAGCTTTGGATTACAAATTCCCTCACATCAAAAAGAAACCTGCTACATGGCTTGTTGATGAATCAGAAGGCATGCCACCACACCCAGATCCAGCAAGGTTCCCCAATGTTACATATATCGGGAAAAAGGAAGAAGGGTGGAAAATATTAGACAGGGAGCATTCACATCTTGTCCTGAACAAGTGTATGAGAAATTGATGTTTATATAATTTCTACTAACATCTATTTCTAGGCACTGGAGATATAGAGCTTCTTGTGCTGCGCAATGCAACAAACTTGTCACCAACTGGCAAGGCATTGTTGGAACGTCTTCAGCAAATCAATAATGAGCATGCTCTTGAGCGCCGCAATTTGCGTGTATGTATGTTGAGTATCTGCTCATTCTCTGCTGAAATGCTGCACTAGCCCTCTCATCATGGGAAGATATATGCATTTGGAATCAGTGCTGGAGCTCGACACAAGCGTTCTCCTGATACTATTGAATTGGGTCATACAAAGTTCCACAATAGGTATACCAAGAGTGAGCTTAGAAAAAGTGATGGGGAGCTTTTGGGAGCTGCTGCAGTGACTTGGGCATTGTTAGCAGCCAACCTTCCTATTGAGATCACAAATGAACTTGCATGTGGGATTACAAGCCTGGGCATCCCAGCATTTTTTTCACCTACTATTGATGGCAGTGGTGAGTATTCAGCATCTCTAACTGAATAGACAACACAATCAGCCTAAATTTCTCTGTAACAGACAAGGGCTACTCATTTGAATTCAATGGCAAAGTTTACAACTTCCCTGCTGTTGAGCGCCCACCACCTGAAGTATATTATGCATCCAACTATGTGGCGTGAGTGCTCCCACATTATCTGGGAAGTAAACTGAAGATACTCTAGTCCTTGCCACACAGACAATGCACACATCAACTGGGTGGTGGCACACACATCATCCCGCATAGTGGAACCTGGTGTAGATCATGCAGGAGCTGATTTTGCCAATGTTAGTCTTGGCATCATTGTGCGCGGGGCACTTGACACCATCCTAGCATTCCACCCACTTCACCGCCATGGGACAACACTGTGTGAACATGTCCAGAGCACAGCAATTGCTTTCACATTTTCCAAGCAGATAGTGGATGCATTTCAAGAAACTTCAAAGCGCCCTGGCTATGTCCCGCGCCCTGTTTTCACTTGGGTATGTACAAATGTGCAGCAGCAGCCAAGTCAAGATGTGGGGGGAGACCCAATGGATGATGAGAATGTGGAGATTGATGGCCTACATGAGGTTTCTAACCCTTCAGAACTCCTGCAAAACCACAATAGTTAGTTATAAGGGGCTGGATATAGCCAGTTCCCTTCTAACCAGCATCTGCTGTTACCAGCGAGGCACAAATTTTACCCAATTGCCCTATTTCGCGAATGGTCCTTTATGAGAACTGCCTACAAGCATTCCAGATGGGGCGCACTATTAGACCTGCGCTGCCTGCCAACATCTGCCGAGTGGCTGCTGCTCTGCAGCAGCAGCACACTTCAGCCCAGCACAGGCTGCGCACCCCCGCTGCCTGCGGCTTACAGCCCGCGCTCTCTCCCCACACCCCCGTGGCCTGGCGAAGCCCGCAGCGGGGGGAGTAGCAGCGCTGGAGCCCCAGCTTAGCCGGGTGAGCATGCCTTGCGATTAGCCAGCGCTGCCGGGTTAGCGGCAGCCTGTCAGCCCGACAACTCTCAGCACCCAGGGCCGCGGGGGGCAGCCAGTTTAGGCTGGTGTCGCAGCGCCGCCCGCACCAAGGGCAGCCACATGGCTAGTAGGAAATGCAGGCAAATGCAGGTGCCGACTCTCCACACTCGAGTCTTCCTTCCTATCGCCGGGTGTTTCTCCCGCTTTTTGACCAGCGGCTGCACAAGCGTCTGCGGCAGCAGGCCACCTGGCGCTTAACTCCCTGAGCCCGCACCCCTGAGCCTTTCTGCCTGAGCCTTCCACACCTCCCGCGCCACCATCTCCACCCCGGCACGGGCTCCTGCTCGAACGACGCTGCCGCTGCCCCCATCTCCGTGGCGCTTCCGCCATCCAATTTGTCTTGACCCGCACGTCTCCATGCCCAGGATAATGCCGCTCAAGATCGTTAACTGCGGGATAACTGCTGGTCGATTAGAAGGATTTGGGCTGGCAGCAAGTGTGCCCATTCCCACTTCTGGCCTGGCTCGCGACTAACGCTGCTTACTTGCCTGGATCGTCGCGCTCAGCTGACTCTGCGCCCGAAATTGCGATCCTGCGCGCGAAAATCGAAGCAGGAAATGCCTCATTCCCCCCATCCGCTTCCCCCGCTGTCATTTGAGGGCGTTGCTCCGGAACATCTGCGGGGTTCTGGCGATCCAATATCCGAGCCTTGGCACCATTATCAGCGCTGCAAACGTGTCGATCCTGGGCACATCGCATTGCTGCCAAACCTGTCGCATATATTTGCACGGGCCCTAAGAGGCAGCAGAAGGAGAGTTGGCTGCTTGTGCGCGCGGAAATATGTAATCAATCACTATCAAGTGATGCTGGGCCAGGATAAGATGACCTGGACGCGGGTGATTCAAGGAGTCATGTCAAAACCACAGGGATGGGACCATGAAACTCGGATGCTCGTTTGTTTGCTGGGATAGGACCCGCCAGGCGTCAGAAGCAGCGTGAATGTTCCACCTCGAAGGGAGTGTCCGCTGAGCTGAATTGTGGGCAAGTCGTGTGCTGCGTTATACCTAGTGTTAGGAAGGCTACTTGGGCCGAATATCGCTGCATTCCACAGCATGAGTTCCCTGGGGTGTGAATTCATTGTGCAGCGCCCGAAGCAAGAAGTAGTACCTAGCGGCTGCTGTAGTGAAGAAGGTCACCACCTGGACCGCTCACGATTTGGTTGTCGCGAAGTTGGCCGAAGTGTCTGGTTCGCAGCCTAAACAGCGAGTGAAGCGACCGGTCATGTGGGGGTCCAAAAATTGATTTTGAAACGGTCACTACACACACGTGACTGCAGTAAAAATAGACGCAGAACAGACTGACCCAACCCTCTGACCCAACACACCAATAAAAATAATATTAGCCGTGGGGAGATGCGCCGATTCGACAGCCAATTTTGGCATGCGGCGGGCTATAGCGACTCTGATCTCGGATGGAGAGGTGTTTCGCGCGAAGTGGCTGGGTGGCAAAAGAGATATCTAGCAACTTCGTCACGAGCAAGTCGCTCGTACATTCGTCTCGTCTCTCATTCAAGCTCGCCACAATATCGCACCCTCGGGCTGAACTGTTTTATATATGACGATGACGATGATGCCAGCGAACGGCGTTGCCCGTGCAGTTTCCCCACTTGGTAGTCGACGTGCAGCCAGATTGTGAGTTGTATGGCTTCGTTGGTTCAGCCCAGCTATTAGTATACAAGACTAATCACCCCAATTTTTGCTGCAGCCGCGTTGCCAAATGGCTAAGGGCCCCTTCCGAGGATGATGGGCCAGAACGTCTCAAAAAGATCCTGTAGAAGCTCTTTCCACCCCCAGCGCGCTCAAAGTCGTCGCACAAGGCCTGGTCTGCATTAACCAGCCATTCGACTATTCAAAAGTCGTTGAGCAGCATCGCCAGCAGCATGGGCCCAAGGGCTTCTTCAAGCCCTCACCGCAGCCGCGTGTACATGGTATGATAATCTTAGGTCGGCGATTTGTGTTTTACAGCAGGGCGGGATTTACATGGCGCCGGAAACGGCCAATAATGCTAAGTACAGAATGGACGGCAAAGTCATCATCTTGCCACCTGCCATTAGAGGATGCAAAAATGATTCATGCTCTGGTTCCGCGCTCTTTGAAGCTGTTGGTTATTATCCACAATTCCTAAAAAATGTGCTTGGACAAGACCGCCAGTCCCGCTTCCCGTGTGTTCTCATGGTTGATTCAGGTATGTCACCGCCTGTACATTTTCAATATACTACTAGGGTCACTTCTTTGCTGTTTGTGCATAGGAAGAACATACCTGTGAACCTGTTTGATGCCTCTCTGGACAGGCGAAACCAGCATGAGTGCTGCGTCTAGCCTGGATGCTTTCAGGAAAGGCATCCAGTGGATGGAAACGCACTATGAGTCGCTCCCTTCCCTAGCCCAAGCAGCAGATCGCGCATTTCTCTATCCAACAAGCTATAAAGACAAGACAGGCCGGGATATCGGCTTCATGTATCAGTCACGAGTTGGGGGAAAGCCTGTCTTGTTGCACAAACCAGCGTTAGCCCTGAAGAATGCCTGCGTATCAAGTTCGCGAAGCGCTATTCGGAAGAGGCCTGCCGATTACTCGCCAACCTGGGACATGCACCCCAGCTTCGGGGGGTGACTTCACTTCCTGGAAGATGGCTTGTGGTTATCGTGGATTTTTCGCGATATCGCCCACTTTCTGACATCACCATACTCTCAAATGACAAGCGAAAACTCGTGAAATCTAATATACGAAATATCGTGCAAACGCTGCACAACGATATTCGAGACATTGCCATTCTCGCTGACCCTGACACGCTGGCTGTCCATATTTTGATTGGGCAGGAACATACCAGAAGGTCAGATACCCAGGACAAGGTAATACTGTTCAACGACCAGCTGGTGTATCGGGTGGGGAACTGATTACTAAAGACCATGATGTGGCAATGATTGACCTTTTGTTCTGTGTGTGGCAGTTTCACTTTCGCTGTGGAATATGGTTTGGTAGGGGTGTCGAAGTTCGCGAGAAACCGGTTCGAACCGGAACCGAACCCGGAACTAAACTGCAGTTCGGTTCTGGTTCTCTAAGTTGGGGGGTATCAGGAACCAGTTCTGAACCACAAAACCATTGAAGGATTTTAGGATTACAGCAAGCCAAAGAAAAATCGGTTTGTCCGATTTGGATGACTCAAAAGTACTAATGCCCCCAGCTCAAAACTACCACACACCCCTGTGCGAGCAACTCTTTTTGTTCCCAGGCGACTTTTGGCATGTACAATAGATAGATAGATGGATGAATGAATGAATGGATAAATAGATAAATAGATAAGGAAATAAATAAATAGATACTAATACTGGTAATTGTCAAAGACTGGATTCGAAGGGAGAGGTGTGGCTCAGTGTTCAGAGGGTGTTGGTGTCATATCTGTACATACCCGATCCCGATCCGACTCCCGGACCCCCATCTTCATCACCTCCGGAGTCCTACCCTACTTCCGTTCGCTCTGATACTCACCTGCGGACCGAACATCACTCCTCTCGCCACCCTCCTCCTATTACTCCTCCTCACTCCTCATGTCACCTCCACCCTTCCGTCCCTCTCCTACCCTACTTCTGTCAGCTCCGATACTGGCCTTCGGACCTGACACCATTCCTCCTCCACTCCTCTCCCCACTCCTCTCATCACTCTCCTCCCTCCTCCCCTCTTCCGCCAATCCTCCAGCAAGTTACAACCTTCCACCGCTGCTCCATACCCTGTACTCAGACACCGCTCGTACCTTTGCTTCGAGATTCCGTCATAGTTCCGACCTCGGACTTTGACTCCACCTCAGCTTAAGTCCATTGCATTGGTGACCTCATACTACATAAACACCATTGCCAACATTCCTCGGACTTTCAACCCCACCTCTGCAACCTCCATAAGCTCCACAACCTCCGAGCTCCACGGACCTTACTCGGCACTTTCGCCGGTTGTAATGTATCTTTCGTGCTTTCCCCTCATCCTTATTTGGACTGCTGCTTCTCTCCATTTTAGCCAGTTAGTCATCATCCCCACTTCACCCCATCCTCCTGCCCCTCTGGGCTTCGCCCTATCTCCTTTCAGATGTACCACAGGTTCTAACCTATGACCTTCGGTGCTGCTCCGCTTCTGTCATCCCTTTGTCCCCATTTGGATGCCTTTTTTCCAATTTGGACCCCCTTTGACTTCCTTGTGCTTTCGTCTCTCTATTATATGCAGGTGCTTGTACATACTCGTTTTAGGCCCTCAGTCTAAAATCGACCTGAAATGCCCCCTAGAGACTTCCTGCTCACTGCCTCTGAAATTAAGGACCAAATGGACAAACAGCGATGGCACAGCGCTCCGCATGAGTCGCTGAGGCCAAGTGTCATGGCCATGCATTCCGGCCTGTTAGCCACCTGTCCTGATGCCACCTGAGCCCATTCCCACTATGCAAGCGTGAGTGCGAGCCCCGACCTCAGCCCTATCCTCCCTGAGGACTCCCTGCTCACTCCCCTGCTTGCCCCTAGGCTCCCCTGCACCTGGCCGACTCCCCCACAGCCACTGTTAGAGATGGGCGGAAACGGACGACTCCGGAGTGGAATCGGAGACTTAGCGTGGAGGGACCTTGGCCTCAGCGACTCAAGTGGAGCGCTGTGCCATTGCTGTTTGTCCATTTGGTCCTTAATTTCACAGTAGGTGAGCAGGAAGTCTCTTGGGGCATTTCAGGTCGATTTCGGACTGAAACCAGACGAGTATGTACAAGCGCCGATATATATAAGGAAGGGCAAAAGCACAAGGAGAAACAAAGGGTGACCAAATCGGAACGAAGATGTCCGAACGGGAACAAAGGGTTAGAGGGAGCGGAGCGGTACCGAAGGTCATAGGGCAAGACCTGTGATACATCCGAAAGGAGGTAGAGTGGGCGAGGCCCAGAGGGGCAGGAGGATGAGGGGAAGTGGGGGTGATGACTAACTGGCTAGAATAGAAGGAAGCAGTAGTCCAAATAGGGATGAGGGGGAATTGCGAGAAATACATTACAAACGGCGAGAGTGCCGGAGGCGGTCCGTGAAGCTCGGGGGTTGCGGAGCTTACGGAGGTTACGGAGGCGGGGTTGGAAGTCCGAGGAATATTGGCAATGGTGTTTACGTAGTATGAGGTCACCAATGCAATGGACTAAGACCGAGGTGGAGTCAAAGTCCGAGGTATGGACTATGACGGAGGCTCGGAGTAAGGTACGAACGGTGTCCGAGTGTGAAGTACAGAACAGCGGTGGATGGTCGTAACTTGGCGGAAGGGTGGCGGAGGAGTGACGGAGGAAGGAGAGAGGGGACAGGTAAGGAAGAGTAGTCAGGTCCGAAGGTGGATATCGGAACGGACGGAGAAAGCGTAGGGGATGACGGGAGGGTGGAGGTGTGGTGAGGGGGGAGCGGAGTTGTAGGAAGGGTGGCGAGTAGGGCGATGTTCGGTCCGAGATGAGTATCGGAACGGACGGAGAAGGGGTCGGAGAGGTAAGAGGAGGGGTGTGTTGCCAAGACCGAAGGTGAGTATCGGAAAGGCAGCGGTAGGTTATGACTCCGGAGGTGAAGAGGGTGGAGGTCCGGAAGTCGGGTCGGGGTCGGGTATGCACGGATATGACAGCCACACCAACCTTCCCACCCTGAGTCCACCTCTGGCACCATGCCCAGTGCGACTCCTCTACCCCGCCCACTTGGCCCCTACAGGGCCACTACCATTCCTGTGCCTGACTCCGGCCCAACTCCAAGTCCAGCGCCGCTACGATACCATTGCCGCTATCGCGGCCCTGCACTCCTTCCTTTATTTATCTGTTATTGTTTGTTTTGACCCTCGGTCATTGCTGGCCGCTGTGTGGCCAACCCCGCTCTTTGTTCCCTTTTGCTTCTGGACCCCTCGGCCTTCAGCCCGGGTCCGCTTCCATTCATTCATTCTCCCTATATATATCCTGTATGATACTTTATTGTACCTTAGCTCTAATATCGATTTGACCATGACTCCCAAGTCCTGACCCCAGCAAGGCAACCCCAGTAAGTCTGAAATGAGGGCCAAGAGACAGCTAGGGGGCACAGCGCTCCTTTAGAGTCACTGAGGCCAAATGCCCTACCCTCGGGCCTTGTTCATGGCATCACAGCCATCGTGGCCTATAGTGGCCTGCTAATGGCAACCTTCGGTGCCGACCCCGGACCAGTTTCTAACACCAAGGTCCCTCCTTGCTAAGTCTCCGGTTCCCCTCCGGGATCATCCACCCTCGCCCAGTGCTAACATCACAGAGCTCTGAGAGCTCCCTACCAAGTTTGCTGATGTAGAGTAGACTCTTGGAGGCTGGCCAGGGTGGGGTGAAGTGGGACTCCAGAGTTTGTGGAAGAGTTCTGGGAGTTGGGTCAGGATCAGGTATGACACTATTCTTCGTCATGCACATTCATGAACATTCACAAGGGGGAATGGGGGTGCATTATGTGTCCTGTCAATTTCCAACTTGAACTGATTATATTTGGTCATGAAAGTTCATGAAAACTTTCATGAGACTGCATGACTGTGTGCGCTCCAGCATGAATCCTCATGAATCCTCAGGAATTTCTGTGCAGGTTCATGAAACTGCATGAATTCATGACCCTTCATGACTTGGGATTACACTTTTTGCAGTTACTGAGTTTTCCAACAGACTTGCACAATACAAGTCATTGTTGCCATCTGTGGTTAGTCTTGGGATCCATGTGCTCATAATGTCCACTTGGTATTGTGCTGATTCTCTTGAACCACTCATTGCTTAGTTTCCTGGTAATGATGATTTGGTCTGTAAGAAGACCTGGTGTGCTGAGGTCTCCCTCTTGCCCCATGATCTTCTGCTTTGTTTGCTTCTCCACTTCAAAATGCCCTTGTGTCAGGGCATACTGCACCACACCATGCTGCCCCCCCCTCTCTCCCTTCTTCCTTTCTCTCTTTCTCTCTCTTTCCTTTATTTCCTCTCTATCTTTAAATGGATGACTCTCTTCTTCTTGCACCTGTAGTGCAAACAGGTCTGATGCCAGGCACCCCACATGGGTACTACACTGCCAGATGTGCTGTGTGTACCTTTTCTCTTTAATGCCTGGGATTGCCTGTGGAACCACCTGTGATAGCTCAGCTCTGTTGTAGGAGAAATAATGGTCACCCTATGAAAACTCATTGTGGAAATATGCCAGAAAAATCACAAAACCCTCATATGACAAGTAGAAATGAGAGGATAGAAGAACCTGAATTTTAATGAATTCTCATGAATTTTTACAAATTTCTGCAACTACATACAACAAATATGAAGATAGAAAATTAATAAAAATACTTCAAGCTTAGCATCAACAAGATGGAATGCTTGGGAGAATTTATAGCGAATATCAAACTAGGAACAAGGTCAATCAGGTAAGATCTGACTATAAAACCAACCAGAAAACCTCCATGGAAACTGCTTTCCCACACCTTGTCATATCCATACCAACTCCACCTCACCTCCACTCTACTCCGCCATGCCTCTGGTCCACCTCCGGTCTGTCCTCCCCCTGCACCTCCGCCATACCCTCTGGTTCACCTCCAGTTCACCTCTGCCTCCGATCTCCGGTACCTTCTCTGGTACCTCTTATCCTCACCTTATACGTTTATTAATATTTCTACCTACCCAATATTACTATGGACCTCCTAGGACCTCCACCCACTCCGCAAAGGTTTTCCCACTCTCCAGTAGCTGTCGCTAATTCCACCCTTCACCTACCCACTCCACAATGCTCGATAAGGCGATTCTCTCACGAGCTCGCTGACCTGGCAAGTGGGTAAGTCCCCCTCGGGTTTTCCCCTTTATCTTCTATTATGTATATAAGTCCTGTACTGTAGTTGATGGCACCTCAGCGCAAAATCGACGACTAGACTCCCCCCAGAGTTCTTGCCCTCTTGTTCTGAAGTTAAGGACCAGACTCCTAAAGTGTTACCGAACGTAGGCACAGCACTCCTCTCTGAGTCGCTGAGGCTGCAGTCCTTCTGCCCATTCTCTACCTCCAGCCTCCTTCCAGGGAAAGGTCCAGGAACACTGCCCCCCTCGCTGTGTATCTGACACACCCGCACACAGTAGCTGAGGCTGGGAGTGCCACAGAACAAGGATTCCACAGGAACCAATGCAAAACTCGATGTTGTGTTTATAATAGGGAATGTAGATGCCTTTTAGATAGACTCAATTTAGGAAAAACTACTGATAGACGATGGAGAAGTAGCCAAAATTCACAGGAAACAAGGACAACATTCAAAAGACAAGTGGGAAGAACAACCAGTAACGACTGAGACGAGTTTG